GCATACTAATTCTTTCTTGTTCTTGCCCTTGCCGTAAGCCTCGTCGCCTCACTCACTTTTCGGATTATTGCATAGACATTAGTATTGTTGCGCACCTGTAACTTTGCGTCTCGGATGACCCTTGCTCCTGCACAGTCGGCGACTAGCCCTGCTAACCCTAACCCCGCCTTTTCTCGCGCACAGCAGGTGTGTGTAAATTATCTGATTCGATGTCTCCCATCTTCCATGTATAGTAGTTCGCGTCCGACTATTATTGATTATTCAATTACAAACTCGAATCGTGTGATAATTTTCTTGAACAACCGTTTCGCAGCTTGAGCTTGGTCATGCATGGTAGAATTTGCACCGGATACTGACCATGGATGTTCATTGGCTCAGTCAATAATGTACATTATCGGCCTTAGTTCCCCTACAGTATGGTAGCTGCTGTCCGAATGCTCAGCGAGAAATGGCTATCAATGTCCAGGCGCCCCCCAAGGTCTGGCCATTGCACACCATATCTGGCGGATTTGCTACGGGTTTACCATCTACTTCTCATACCTTGCCCAATCTGGTCAGAATTGCGGAACCTGGTCATCACTGACCATCCGTTTCGCTTTTTTGCTGATGCAGTTCGCTGTCGGCGCATGCAACGTCTTGCCATATCTGGAATGTGAGCTTGCAAGTCAAGCTGTGGCTGGGGCCTGGCCAGGGAGTTGGCGCCCAGCTAGCCGGATCTCGGCTTAGCTTGCTCCGGCTTGGTGATCCAGCGCGATCCAGCTCGTCAGCTTAGCTTAGCTTAGCTGGCTTGGCGGCAACACTATTGGTACGGCTCTTCCAGATACTTCATCTCGTCCCCCGTGAGTGTTACGTCAGGAGCACCCAAACGGAAGTGATCAGCTCAGCCCCCAGGACGCGCATGCACCCTTTGCCAATTAGACGCATGCAAGAAAGAACAGAACCTACCAAGAATGCCTTCGAGGCTCTTCAGGCTCGTCGTCCCAATGATGGGCGCGGTGGCGCCGGGCTTGCTTCTGATCCCAGGCCGTCGGATCTGGGCCATGCTGATGCCCTTCTTTGCGAACTCCTCGACCCTGCAGAGTGGGGCTGTCAGGGGCCCAGTTGTATGACAAGATAGACGCATCTCCTCACGTCACTTTCGTACGACACGAGTGGAAACGCGATGCGACTGCACCTGCTTGGCGTGGACACTCGTTCCCGCTGGGGGTTACACACCGATTTCCCGCATATTACTGCCTCTCTGCGCTGGACAGGCTACCGAACGCACCTTACCGTCGACTGATCTCTCGCTGATATCACTTGAAACCTTCTGTCGACCTCTACGAGTTGCTCCGAGTCACTCGCGTTATGAAGCTCACAGGTGTGTTTCTCATTCAGTCGACACCATGTACTGTGTTCCAAGAACAATGTGTGCCGTACTCGGCGTGTGGGGATGATGAGGAAGGGTGTACGCTCGAATCTCTTTACAACGCATTCTGGCGATGCGCGTGGCTGATCTTCAATTCTCCCGCGGACGCGAACACGAGCGGGGCGACGTCAGTGTCACATAGAGAGCCTCGCAGGAAACAGTACCCCGCGTCTTTCCGGAGTAGGAGGTGAATCATTCACCGGCATCCGACCTGCGGCCGAAGCAACTTTGTAGCCCTCTATGGGGCATGTGATGGCGATCTCGCGGGGACGATGCAGGTTCCTGGTATGTTAGTCATGGCTCGCTGGGAGGCCCGATGCGACAGCGGCATTTGGGTCCATGGCACGAGGACCTCTGCCGGGCGAGAAAAAGGGAGTCCTTTGGACACCGGTGCGCTTGCGTGGAGAAAGACAGTGATATTAGTACTTACCTTGCACTTGATCGACCATGCTCACCAGTACACGCTCTGCAAGATCCCAGCTGAGCGTTTATGCAGCGAGCGCGGAGTCTGCAC